CTCTTAGGGCTCTTCAGAGATGGGCAGGCAAAACTCAGCCCACATAAAAGGCTCTTTCTGAAAACACATTGCTCAATGCAAGAAATATGGCAACTGCACAGATGTAATAAAACTGAGGACCTGCTTCCTCATTCTGTCTGCAAGAATCTACCCTTTTATTTCTCCATGAGCATTATAACTTGCATCTTCATCTTTTGACAGGCCAGTGCCTCTACATAAAAGGACATTAAAGAAAAAAAAAAGCCAACCATCATGATGAAGCTTACTTGAATGCATCATCTAGACATTTGGGCTCCTGAATTTCCCTTATTGCTTTCCAGGAGTCCCCCAATTACTTCCTCAGAACTAACCCCTACCCCCCATTACTTTCTTTGAGTTTCCTGTGCTGCTTCCTGACAATCCCCACACTGCTCTGTAGGATTGCACCTCCTTGCAGTTCCCGCCTTTCCAGGAAAACTCCAACACTACTTTCCAGGATTGCCCTCAGTTTTGTAGGAATCCCCATGCACCTCCAAATCCCTCTGAGTTTCCAGGAATTCCCTGTGCTGCTTTCTAGGACCACTATGGATCGCTCCCTCCACCCCCACGATTTTCAGGGAATCTCATTTTCTATCTAGGATTTCTCCCTTTTCTATTTCATAATTAACATGATTTGCTTGTATAGCACCAGGAAAAGTACAATAATCTTCTTTGCTATTTTTTCCCCTTATGCTATTTAAGGCCTCTAGCAAGACACGGGTCTGTGCTTCAGAAACAGTGTAATGAACGTTCATAAAATCATGTAATACTGCAAGGTCATTGGTAAAGTGCATTTAAGTCTCTCCAAAATTGACTCTAGCCACTTTTACTGTTGTGAAATAATCAATTTCATAATTTACTTTAAGCACATTGTGCTATTCCACTAGAGATAGGCAAGTATGGTATTGGTTCCTTAACAGAAGATGCTAGAGTCCATTGGCTTATTGATCTTGACATGAAAGACAGTAGAAATCTCAAACACACAAAATTATTTCTTCAAGTTTCAAGAAGGTGTCCACAAGAATGAAAAAAACAAAAAAAACCCCAAAAACCGAAAATGCAACTGTCAGGGACAAAGCCCTTAATTCTCTGGTGAAAACAGAAAAGGACTGGAGCTAGTGGTGCATGTAGAAGTCCACGAGAACAGCTGAGTCAATGAATAGACAATTTCATGAGATTTATGTGCTATAAAACTTTGAGATCCAATTTAAATCTTGATCTTCTAATAAATGAGAGGTCCCTACCATGCACACAAAGTTAGGTCCACTTCTTCCTAGAATGTTTCCTGAAAATCCCAAACTGCTGGAGGCAGCCTCTTAAAGCTACTGTTAAAAAGTAGTTAATTAAACGTCTTTTTTTTTTTCAAGATTATTTCCATGGAAACTTCATCTCCAATAGACACATCTGCAAGTTCCAGAGAAATGCAGAACTACATACTCAACCTAAACTGTTACTCCAAAATACAATATTGTTAAAACAGAAAGGAACAGGGTGTTCAACAAACTGTAAAGTGTTTTGACTCAAAGTGTTGTACAGCAGATGGAGCTACAAGTATGGTCTATGAATAGCCACCTACACATGTGAACACACAGAGGTAATAAATATACATAACGTATCCCATCAAGTGATTATCTTAAACAACTTTTCTTTCTACTGCAAAATGACAGACAGAAGTTAACTTTTGTGAACAAAACTTCACAACAAAGCAGCTCTCCAAGTTTCACATCAACAAAAATTGAAAAGAAATAAATGTAATCAGCTTGCAATGCTCATTCAAATGTTGCATAAAAGTTCAAGTTCTTCTTTTGACCAATATTTACAATTATCTCATCCATGTTCCTCTTAAGAGGAGATAAAAGCAGGACAGGGATACCTGCCATCTTCATCTGAAGTGTGGGGACTGAGAAAGGACATGTGTTATTTCACCATACATCAGTGACAAAAGGAAAAAATTAGTTCGTTTCAAACAAGACTCCTCCTGGAAGATCACATGTCCATCCATTACCACACTTCCTAGAGAAAATTCTGATGCTCCTCTCCTTTATCAGAAATAAGTGCACTGCAAGAGTTCCACGGGTTCCCCTGCACCTCCTCCGCACTCCCCCTCTCCCCAAAACGATCCATCTGGCTGACCAACCGGACTATGCCAACCACATCCAGAACTGCTCCCAACTGCAGAATGACTTTATTTAGCAGAGGAGAAAGATGGTTTTCCAAATGAAATCTTTCCAACCTCAGCTCCACAGCAGAGTAGAAACGTTAATAAATTTTAGCTTAAGCACCTACCTTCTCTTTCTTCCCCTTCACAAAGGACTTCCAGGAATATGCAACGCTGACTAGAAACATTTACTAATTCCCTCTTTTTCCCTACTAGCTATGAGGTCATCAAAAAGAACTATATGAATAGCCAGCAGAGTTCTTAAGGGTTTTACAATGAAATATGCAAACTCTATAGCTCAGAAGTCCAAGACCATCCAACCTGATGTTGAATCACTTGACTTTTCCGTAAGCTGTATGAATTGAAAGCCTCACACAATTTACACTGGACTGTTGTATACATACTAACACCTTCTCCCCCTCACAATCATATTTTCTCTCCTTTCTATCTGGCTAAAAATCATGGTAAATTGTGTCTAACACACAGCAAAAAAACAGGTATAAGACAGGACTGCCAAAAACCCCCCAAAATCTAAGAACATTACCTGTTAAAATTTTTTAAAATTTAGATACATCACCACAGGAGCATACTATTTTTTAAATCATGCTTTATTAGGAAAAAATCCTTCTTGATTACATAAATACAGATAATGTGCTCAAGCCATTATCATTTTAGGCACTAACTTGATTTCCAATCATAATCTGTATGCTCAAGACTAAACAATTCCTCACTTTTAATCATCTTAATAAACAATGAACTGCTAAATGTGTACATTTGCATGATGAGTTCTGAAAACAATTACTATGTATGACACATTTAAAGTATGATTAAAGTAAAAATTGAGAAGGTGGCATCCGTAATTAATATCCTTGATAGCAGTGGGCAATTCTCTTGCAAGACAGGCTATACTTCCTCTCATTAACACCACAAAGCTAAGGCATTGTGAGAGTCTTGTGATTCTTGTGTTCTTAGAATTGTTGCCTATTTTTGACTATTCCTTATCATCAGTGAAAAGGGTCATATCCAAATTTGCTATTTGGCCTTCAGTTCTCAGCCACTGAACCCTCAAAGCTATCGTTTCCTTCCAATAGAAAGACTAACTTTGTTTCTTTAGAAGGAAATTCTCCTTCAGCTTGCTTCCCAAGCAGCTATGATGTTTGTATTTACTCAACCAAAGATACAAGTATAAAAATATTTTTCAGATGTTAATTTAAGCCAGCTGCAGTAAAATGGCTGAATTCTAAGTTTAAAAGATCTACAGTATCCCTCTGCCCAGAGGAGCTTCTGTTGATAATTCCAAAGACTCTCAGAAGCCCTGCACAAGTAAAAATCTTCTCTAACTGCACACACTACTTCACATCAGTTCAAATTAATTTCTTGCCACAGCCTTCAAAAAATTACTACTTAAATAAGCAGCTACATTCAAAACCAGTTGTTTTGAGTTAATCTACTGAAGTTAGTAACATTACAAAACAAACAAACAAAAGAATACTAGTTTGGGAATCTTTGGATTCAAATAGAGTTTTAGATCTTCGAAGTTCAAATGAGGGTTCTGAGAGAGAAGTTCTATATTAATCTAGGCAGATATATGCTAACATATTGTAATTTTCACTCAGAGGAAAAGGCCATCATCATTTAATAACCTTTCAGCTCATTAAACAGCATACAAAAAAATATGTCCATACACATAAGCAGGTTATGAAATAACTGACCTAAACCAACTGAACTAAACCAAATGTAAAACAGACTTTCAAGAAATCAACCAGATGCTTCTAATGTAATGTATGTACACTCCCATGAGTCACAGGCCAGAACAGCTTCATCACCAATACTCTCATAATGCTAAAGAACCCAGCAGGCACAAGAATTTCTGTGACAGTGTACACATGGCAAGTGATAGAAACGTAATATTACACATAATAATTATAAAGAATACAAACAGATTTTTGGTTTCATTAATAACACAGGAAAGATTTGATCTATATGTTGTACTTTAATCCAAAAGCTACAATACTGAAGGTCCCATTTGTACCGGCAAGATATTCCCGGTCACCTCCTTCTCCCCAGCCTCACATGTATGCATTGCGGGTAGAATTCCAAACATTTAAAGAGCAGTAGCATATCACACCACATGGTACCTTCCCACCCTCAACCTGGGAAGGACAGAATAGCTTAACATTCCAGCAGAACAATATAGCTCCAAGACCTCCATGGCTTATTTTTAGAGGCTCAAACAAAATGCATCTTGTCTCCTTTCAGTTCAGATGGTAGCCCTAAACTACAATGATTTAGATAGGACAAACTGAAAATTAAGGACTAAGCTTCATAAACAGATTGCTTAAAGAAAAGTCTATGAAAGACAAACAGGTTTTGCCCAGAACACTGTTTCACAAATGTCCATAAATACAAATAATGTGGAACTGGGATGAGACCAAGAAGTGTCCACGTTCAGAAAACTAAAAAGGAAAATGCATGACATCTGCAAAGCAGCCACATGGAAAAGGTTAAATACCTCTTTGTCAGACTCTAAAACCTAAGTCATCAATCCCAAAGAGCAAGTCACTGTGTCACTGCCACTGTTTGGCATCCAGCATGTACTCTGAAGATCAACATTAAACAGTTTTGCAAAAGAAACATCAAAGATACCATGTCCTAAGTGCCAAACCCAGAACTTGCTGAAGTAAAGCAAGTCTGCGCAGCAATACTTTCTGAGAACACAGTTGCACCAGGAAAATGCTTCTCTTGGCATGAAAATCCTTTTTTAATAAAACATCAAAAAAACCTTTATCCTTAGATAAAGATCTTCTATTTTCTCATGTCCCTGTCACGTTAGCTGTTCAGCAATGATCTTCCACAATTCCTGTAGGAGTGGAAAAAATACATACAGGTATTTTCTCAGATCAGTAGGTTGCAATTATGAAAAAGTTCAACATGCCCACTGGAAGACAAGTTTTAAGACACATCCTATACTTGCATCTATAGATAGTATCCATCTGTGGATGGATACTAAATCCATCTATGTGATCTCTAGAACAACCACCAAATTATCTTTGAGACAGAACAACAGAATTGATTTCTTTGTTCTTGTAGCATGATTTTTAAAAATAAAAAATTAGTATCATTCCAATCATTTGTTTTAAAATAATTTCATTGGTCTGCATGACCTTCTGCAGTATTTTGACTGATAATCTTGCTTTTTCTTAGCCTGTGTTGACAAATGCTTTCAATTATGCTAGCAATAATACAACTGAAAAAATACTCAATTTACTGAGGAATCAAGGTCTCACAAATGCATGTCTTACACAAACACACATCCCCTTCTCAATCTGTTGAACAATGAAGATGAAAAACAGACCACTTTATTTCTGTAGAATAAATTAGTATATGCTTTGTCTGCTATATAAAAAATTATTAAGCAGACTATCACATACTCTTCACCATGACATCTTGAATTGTGGCAATAATATACTTCATGATAAATAAAACACTTAGGTGTATTAAAAATGCATATGTTTCAAAGAACAGTAGCCTTCCCAAAAGCTCTAGGGAATGAGCTTACACACTTAGGTATAATCCAGGTTACATTTATATACTTGTAAAACTTGTTTTAAAGTTTTGCACCCATGTTTTATGCCTGAAGGTATCAGCGTTAAGTAAAAGAAATCAATCTGTAACTGTAGCCCCTGTAATCTTACTACACATACATACTGCAGAAGACACAGCAATCTTAGGTTGACTACAGGAACATCATTTCTTGGTAGCAGATTTGTAATCCAGTACAAGATTTGCAAGTTCTCTAAAAACATCTGCTAGGTTGTATTGCTCTAGAAGCCAGCAAGCTATTAGTTGTAAGAATAATTGTAAGAGCAGACAATTGGGAAAAAAAAAAAAAAAAAAAGAAAAAGAAGAAAAAAGAGAACCATAAGTGCTTGGGAGGTAATTAGATAACTACAAATATGGTATCTGACATCAGAAGTTTACAGCTAATCAACTTCTTCATAGATATTAGAACATTATTTCCTGAACCCTGAACTGGGAATTACTAAAACTACGAAATGAAAGCTCTTCTACAAGCAAATAAATGGGAAGAGATATTGGTCCCATTTTCTAGTCAATCGCAAATTTTATGAAGTAATGGAGGTTGTTTCTTAATCTTCGAGGAAATGAATACAATCTATGCCACTGTCCTGCTGGTGATCAAAAAGGGTATGTTATGTCAATCTAGTATAGAATACATAAGCACAAACAAGATTAATTTTAAAACAACAAAAAGCTAAATGAAAATAAATGAAAAGGTAATGTTTATTCTCCTGTTCTTACTTCATGTTAAGTAAACAGCTGAAAACGAATTTGAAATGATTAGCCCAACACATTACATTTATTTTAATGAATGCCACTTACCAACTGCTCAATTCGTTCATAAATGAGAAACTGGCAGAAATCAAGCTTAATGGGCTCCACAGTATATTTCATTTTTCTATCTTGGAGGTTCTCCAAATCATTTAGAGTATTTCTAAAACGACTGTAGGCTTCACATGTAACATCCATATGTCTTAAAGTGAAGTTCAGCCTGGTGAAAGAATATTTAATTTAAAATGTCCCTCCTATACTGGCATCTTAAACAGTTTAAATAACTTTCCTCAGCTAATGGAAAATGTGGGTCTTCTCAGTGTAATTAACTAACTTTGATAGCCAAAAAAAAAGTAACCCTCCACTATTCTTAAAAAGCAGGCAAGACTTATGTTAGCATCAATACACAATAACTCTTGGGTGAATCTTTCCATTGATTTTAAGGCACTTTGCCGCAACAGAATCATTGGTTTGGCTTCCTGCACAAACACTTGGCAACAAATCATATGAACCTCCAGAGATTTAAGCAAAGCCTATTTATATACTAGTTTATGAACGGACTGCAATACACGACGACTTAAAAACATTCAACAATTCCTTGAAAGAAAACACAAGAGAAACTGTTATAGAAGTACTCAAGCTGGGAAACGTATACCCTAATTCTAAGCCGCTTCATTCCACTCTATGACCTCAAAAAACATATAGCAAATGTCGTCAGGCATTATAGGATATATCAGTCCAGCCACCTATTTATCCTTATTTGCATAAAGGTTATCTCATGCGAGGCAACGGTAGGACAATAAATGCCAAACTCTTGTGGAAGTCAAATTCTGGACTGATAAAAATTAAGCACATATAAAAACAAATGTTTGTCCTGAGCATATGCTGCAGCCTGTGATCAACTAGTACAATGAAAATCAGAAGCCGACCTTCAATCAAATCAGATGTTTCTTGCAAATAAAGAAACCACATAAAGTTTTTAGTGCTTTTTATTTTAAGTTCTTGGTAATACTTGCCTCTTTTCTAATGCCAGGTAAACTGTGCAAGAGTTTCTCAAATTTTGTGTGATTCTATACAGCGTTCTGAACAAGGCATCTGTCAGGTCATCATCATAGAACACTAAAAAAAAAAAAGATTAAGAGCATAAAATATGTATGTTTAAGTGTACTACTTACTTAAGTCTCAGGTATGAAACAACAACAGGCCTTAGTTTGATTATACTAATCAAATAAGTCACTATTTTAGCTAAATCCCAGAGTATATTTTTAATGGCAACAACTGACCCTGTAATAGTATCCACTGCTGCTATTTGCATCAGGCTTTCTTTAAGATTTCTCGCATATCAATGGGAATCACTTCTGTCAGACAACTTACAAAACTTTAACAAAGTTTCTCTCAGCCTGGAAATATCTTACCACAAAGCTAAAAAAGACAAGATATCACAATGTATAGGGCCTCATATCTTACAAAAATACAAAAAAGGCAGTAACTAATATACCATTATAACTGTATCTCCTTGGAAAGCAGTCTTGCAACATCTTTCAATATCGTAACTAAAACCAATCCTCCTTTATTTATATATCAAAACAACAATGGTTTTCCTATACAGATAAGCTAGCCTGTCATTTTTCAGTCTTTCACTTAAGCAAGAAAAAGAACAACAACAAAAAAAAAAGACACATATCCAAAGGCATAGACTCTATGGGCAAGTGCAGCATCTGAAACTGTTTTTCACATTATAGAATATATTAGTCTAATCACGTATTTATCATTATTTGCATAGAGGTTATCTGATGCAAGACAAAGGTAGGACAACAAAACGCTTCTGAAAGTCAAATTCATCACTTACTTGTGATTATGATCTTTGAGTAATTTATTTCATCACAAATAATTACCACACCAAAGGAAAGAAAAAGCTAGTAGTTTTCAACATCTGTTCTCCTATTGCTAATTCAGAATGTAAATAAAATTTTAAAAAAATACAGGCAGGAACACTTAAGGCAGAGCTTTGACAAATTACGTAAAGATCTGACCTATTAGATTTTAAAAGTAAACTAAGTATGTTTAAATTATTACTCATAACGCTCAAGCGTTTGATTTAAAAGCTTACTGTTTATATTTTCCTACCATCAGCTGCCATTATCACAGTACAGTGGTCATGCAAATCAGCAATCTCTTCTCCAGACCAGCTGTAAGGAGCTTCAGGATCTGTAACAAAGAATATCACTTTGGTGTACATGATTAAATATCTCAAATGATGGACAGCTGGAAAAAAGAAACTTCTTAACTCCTGTGGTCATCTGCTACTCCATAAATGAAGCACCCCACTGAAGGTCAATCAAAACCTCCCTCTATTCATTCTCTCAAGTTCCCTGCAGTCCTTTGCTTTCTCAGCATTATGTCCAATCCTCCCAAGGTTGACTGGCAAGAGTAAGTTTACTTTTACTTTAGAATTTACAACCAATTACTACCCTGTCTGAGATCACAGATTTAACTAGATTAAGATAAATGCTCCTTTAAATAAAAAACCAAATGCATCTTCATATAAGTTTTGATTAAGCCTCCTACTTCATCATGCTTTTTAAAATCTAGACTTTGTTAAAATACAGAAACTTTCTCTGAAAGTCTAAAACACATAAAACCTTTTCAACTGGCAGTATCAAATATTTTCATTAACCAGAATTTTTTGAATTCCAAGAGAGGCTTTTGAATACGTAAAAGATGCTTCCACTTGCTTAGTTGTTCTATTTTTTAGAGGCATTACATCAAACCCAACAGATGATATAAAAATCTATAAAGGAGGCTTCATATAACCTAGTGCTACAATTTTGTGTTGACCTTGCAATCATAGAAAGTTTTAGTGATCTGCTTTACTACCATTAATTGCACTTTAAATATTACTCAAGTTAGTTGCCTTTATTTTGCTAAAAGCAGCAGAATACATTCCCTTGGCAAATATTTAAAATGTAACACATTCCCCACTACATTTGGAACAAGTACTTACACATCTTCAAATCATCACCTACCCTCCCCACCACCTTTTATATTTTTGTATTCATGCAGCCATAAGCCACACAATACCATCACATCAAAATCTGGATTACAGAAACTCAAATCCACATCACTGTGTCTGGAATCCATTCCAAACAAGACCCATCTTGTTTGCACGTCTGGATTTTGACCTAAGTAAAGGACAGCCATCACTTGTCCATTCTCAACCTATCAGTTAATCTTTCCTTACTCATTCACAAGGCATTAACGCACCCAAAGACAACCGTGTTCTTTCAACTATTTTTCCAGAGGCGTATGTGCTGGAGGACTTACCTCAGAAACAATGGAATAAGCTTTTCTTGATGGTTCTGAACAGGGGTGGGGGGGTGGCACGGGGATCAAACCAAGACACCAAACCCCATCTGAAAGGACCCATTATAACCACCTACCAGTGCAGAATTCATCTTTCAGCCAGTCCAGTTCTTTTACTTTAACCTCCCCCTCTGTGGGTGAAGAAAGATCACATCAGTCACAAATGGCCTTTCAGACCGTAACTAAGCAAAATTAAATAGCCAAAATCTGTACTGAAACAAGTGATGAAGATCTGTTATGAAGATATATGAAACAAGTACAGTTGAACATCAAATCATTTACTGTACAAAACCAGTTACCCACTCACAAGAGAATAGGATGAACTTAAGGGTCAGAAAGACAACCTATGTTCTTTTTCACATGTCTCACCTGCAAAACACTTAGAATCATAGAATCAT